GTCAGTTAAATATACATGAAGAAAGTAAAAGGACTAATATGTACATGCCATAAATAGTAACTGTCATTATTACTGATATTCAGGCAGGTAATTATTTTTAAATTTCATATTCAGATTATTTTCAGCCCCCTTTCAAAATGGTTTTGGACGGGCACAAACTGTTCTTTACCCTAAAACAGGTCTACAGACATGTGCCCACTAAAGAGAGAAACAAAGATTCATATAGCTAGCAGTTGTTGTGGGGGCCAAAATATGAACTGGAACACACCACTGACTGCTTATAAGCCTGTACTAGTAATTTTCTAAAAAGTTATACAACCTTAAAAAATCCTAACATAAGTCACAATGTAACAAAGAACAGGCGGGACTGCTTAACTTTTCTGCAAAATCTTTGCAACATGTACACTAACAGTATCACTATTTATCATCATCAATTTTAGACAACTGAATCCTGTTTCTTGTATTAAAGTTTCTGTTCCAAGTCTTATTAAATTATATGGGAAAAAATCATTACAAATAATTCATTTTAGCAATGAACTGTTCTTTAAAAAGGAAAATTTTGACTTTAATCTTTATTTATTCTATCAACAAGCCTACTGATTGCCTAACTGGTCCTTCCTGACCTCAAGAGCCTTCCAAAGTAATAGGCCAAACAGCCACAGATAATTAAGTGTGGAAGGTGAAATGATAGCAGACATACACGGCTATTTATAAAATCTTGGGATGGGTTAGGAAGGAGTTCTGGAAAAGACTGTGTGTGACCTGAGTCTCCACATACAAGATAAACAAAGAGTTAGCCAGGCTTAAAGAGCAGGTAGAAACAGGAAGGCCAGCCAGTACTCTTCTGAAGTCCCCCAAAATCAATGCAATTTAAAACTCATTTGGAAAGGTTCCCGCAGTGAGAAATCTCTGCAGCTTATGATGATCCACAGGTAACCCAAAGAGTAAAACATCCAAGTTAATGGAGAAAATACAGGAAGAATTCAAATGACCATATGAATAGGTAGAAAGTGATAGATGAGTTTTGGGTGTGAAGAATGCAAGGTAATGTATAAGGACAAAATATGCCAAATTTACTTAAGCCTGGTAAGTCAACATGACAAAGCAGGAAGAATTGGGAGTCTTTGTAAAATGCTTCTTAAGGTCATCTCCTTCAACTGTTTGGCAATTTTAGGCAAAAATCCAACAAAGTAACAGGCTTCCTTAAAGACAGAACTGGCAAAGGGACTGAAAATGCCATCTTATCCTTAAAAAAACATGGCCTATCATAACTAAACTGTGTAGTTCTCAATGTTATAGTTTAGAAAGTATAAAGTACAATAGCTAAGAAAACAGTCTTAGGTTCAAATCAAATAAAGTTCTACCACTTTATTTGCAAATATGAGTAAATTTGTAAATATGAATTATTTGTAAAATGTGATTGGGGAACCTACTGAGCTAAATGAGAAACGTATTAATAGTTCTTTGCAAAGAACTTTTGACACAGTGGGTTTTTTTTTAAAAAAATAAAATAAGATAAGATAGTTACCATTACTACTATTAAGCAAGAAGCAAAATCCCAGAGAAAAGCATTTAAAATACTGAGACAAACTTTAATGTTCATTAAAATCACACAGGGGGCTTGCTGAAAATGCAGATTCCTGGGAGCCTTTCCCCCAGGATAAGTGCCGTAGTTCTAAGGTAGAATGTGGGTGTTTTCTGGCCCAAACATCAAGAATCCCTAAAGTAAGAGAATCAAGATACTGCCCTGTAAAAAGAGGCTGAAAATTAAGGTTCTTCCAGAGAAAGTACTGACCTAAAACAGACATTTACGTTCAAGAGAAAAACAGACATGTTCACCAAGTTCATTCATTCAACCTACATTCTTTGAGTACTTACTGTGCCATGAAAAAACAAATAAGGTGCACATTTTCACAGAGCTTACCTCCTAATTTAGTAGACAGAAAATAAAAAATATGGGAATTTCAGATAGCGATAAATGTGTCAGAGAAAAGAAAATAGAATTCAGAGATAATTGAGGAGACAAGGGGAGAGGGGGTTGCAATCACCTTGGAGAGATTTGGGAGAATACTGAAGTCAGAGGGTACAGCAAGTGCAAGGCCGTACAGCAGAGCAAAGCTTAGAAAGTTCCAGGAACCACCTCAGCCAGTGGGGCTGCAACACAGAAAGAAACTGACGTGGCGAAGCTTCAGGGCAATGGATTAGGCAGAGGCACACAAGGTGAGACAAGAAAGGGCGGCACTGCCAAAACACACAGTGCCTGGCAAGCCTTGATGAGGAGTTTGAACTTTATTCTGAATGCAACAGGAGGCTTCTAAAATGGGAACAACATAACCTGTTTCAACATTTTAAAGGATATCTTATGCTGGGGTAAGGAAAACGTACCATATAAAGCCAAAGTAGAAGGAGAGAGACCAGAAAGTTACTGCAGAAGGCCAGGTGCGAGACAAGGATAGTCTGGCAAAGTGGTGGCTATAGGGATGGGAAAAAGTGGGCTAATCTAGAATACACAGAAAAATACTGTAACATAAGAGTAAATCAAAGAGAAAGAACTAAGTCATATAACAAGTAGTAAGCATCCAGGATTCATTACCCCCAAAAAAACTCACTGCTGTTGAGTCAATTCAACACATAGCGACCCCTCCCTTGGGTTTTCAAGGTGGTATTCCAATGCAAGTATATTGCCCAATCGTCCTTCTGAGGAGTGGCTAGGGGGTTTGAACCGATAGCCTTCCCGTTAGTAGTCAAATGCCTTAAGCACTACACCAGAGCTTTAGAATTAAAATAAGAGATTTAAAGATCTCAGGAAGGGTTAATAACAATAACCCAAGGTGGGTTATTAACAGATTTAGGAAATTTCATGGTACATATCTACCCTTTGAAGTGAAAGAGGGCATTACCTTCCATAGCACTGGACTAAAAATAGGCACACAGTCGAGACTCAATGTTAATAAAGTATATTATGTTTTTGTAAAGTAAAATCTTCCAGGACGTTCTTACTTTCAGGGCCTGGACAGTTGGTCAGCATTAAGACCATAGCATAGCCATGGAATTGAACTAAATTAACCAGTCTGTATCTGAATCAAACTGCTTAATTAGCAAAATCTTTTTAAACTTCCACATTGGCAACTCAGGCTTTTCTGTGCCTATTCTCCCAAGAGTTAAACAAGCAAAGCCCTACTTTGCCAGATAGTGTATAACTAATTTCTTAAATCCTACAATATTATCATAGGTATCTGAAAGAAAATCTTCTGAAACCACGATTTTAATAATTACGATTTGCAAAACATACAGTGAATATTTCCTAAAATTAAGGTCAAAATGTCCAGCTTGCAAGAAGTTTAATTTTGCTATTCAAAAAAGTACTATTATGTCGAAAAGCGAATTACAGAAAAACAAATGCTGTATACCATTTCTGAATAAAAGATATAGATTTTCTTATCTGCTTTTTTTTTCCTATATTTTCTCCAATGATCCATCACAAATTAGTCCATGGAAGCAAAGATGTTTAAAGTTAAACGTCATCATAAAAGCAAAAAGCCTGAAAAGACAAACTTAAAGAAAATAATTTCCTTTGTCCAAATCGTCAGAATTTCAACAGTGGTATTAAGAAAAACTATCTCAATGGCATACCCAGGAGGCAGAAATATGCTAACAAAAGAGATCCACCTAATATTACAAAAACGTACCCTTCAAGTGAGTGGTCTAAAATCTTAAAAACTTCCTTGTTTTGATACGGGGCAATCAATTAAAACATTAACTTCTGTTCACAAAAGAAGGACTTCAATTAGCGAGCTCTCTGGGGGAAACAAAAGTTTTTCCCCCAAACCCTATTAGGTCAAACAGGAGGTTTGGTCCCTGATCTCCTCAGTGCTGTTCAGGGGCGATGAAGGTGGCAAGGCTCACCGCAAGCTACACTGTGGGAATCTACGTGGCCAGTCACTTCAAGTGGAGGAATAAGAGCTTTCTACAATCTCCACGTAACTGGGCAAGAACAGTTCCTACCGGTCTCAAGACTAGAACACCTGCAAGGCCTTCTGCCTACCAAATTACTGTTCTGGTAACTACCAATGGTTTCTGACAATAAAATGCAAAACCTGGAAGGACTCGTCTACAAATATATGTATTACTGCGTGAAGCTCATCCGACCTTCTTGATGCAAACCAAGACATTCTATTAACACCACATCCTCGATTTTGCAAACTGAGGCAAGTGAAAACATCCTACCGATTCTCTACAACGAACAAACATCATCTTGGCTAAAATCCTAATACGCATATTAACAGCCACTTTGGAAAACTTTGGCTTTAAACAGCAAGATGGGACTTCAGGTACTGCCAGGATCCAGTTTACAGCACATTACCTGCTCCAGTAAAAAAGGGTCCTACCTCTTTACTGTCAGCCCTGGTTGCACTTACTGAACAAACAGAAGAGAAAAAAAAAAAAAAAAGTGGGTGGGGGGAGTCCTTTAAATGTGCAACACAATAGGGCTAAAAACCTCCTGCTTTCAAAATAGCAGCTTTCCTGTCTCATTAATTACAACAAAGGACGTATCCTAATGCCTTCATCGTTTCAGAAAGGGCTGAAAAACAGAAGAAATGTTATAGTGTGTATTTCAGGGTTCAAGGATTTTTTTTTTTTCTTTTTTCCTCCCAGCTATGACTCTTCCTCTCCTTTCTATCCCATCAAACGCCTCCCCCAAAATTGCCTATCTTGCCCTAAATATAAAACCCATCGTGGCTACCGTCGATTTTCCTGCCAAGCTCGAGTCTCTTGAAGAGAAAGACCAATTCCAAGACTCTGAGCCTCGCTCTTCGCCGGGAGCCGCCGGCTCGGCAGCAGCGGGTTTCTCCGGATGCAGAATAGCCTGGCCGATGAACCACTTAGCCGGAGAAGCAGCCCCGTTCTGCCGCAGCAACCAGCGCCTAAGAAGCCCGAAGGAAAAGCCGGGATGGGGGAAAGGTGGGCCGGCGAATGGCGGCAAGAGGGGAGACACTCACCCGCCCAGACAACAACCGACGGGGCGGGGAGGGTGGGGGCCGTGACCTAGGCTCAGCAGAAAAACCGACTGGAGCTTCAGGGAAGCAGTAGTTGCTCCAGACGCCGCCGCCGCCGCCGCCGCTGCCGCCGCTGCTAAACCTCGCCGGCGCCGACGTCTTCCCCCACCTCTGTTTTGATTCGATTGAGCACGTCACTCTTTGCCACGAGACCCGGATCTGCCGGCTACCGCGGGCGGTGGCGCAACAGATTGTAGCGGCTCGAGACCCTAGCCGTCCTTTTTCCGAGCATGCGCGCGCGCCGCGCCTGCCCGGTGCGTCTGGAGAGGCGGGGCTGATGGGTACTGCTACGGGCGCTTGTCGCAGCCAGTGAGTGAAAGCGCGTAATGGGAAGGTTGTAGTTCCGGTTGGGAGGGGTGGGGCGGAGGCTAGTGAAGAGAAAAGGGCGAGGTGCTGCGTTGTTGATTTGGCCTGCGTATCCTCTGTTTCGTCTGAGGTGGAAGATCATGTCATCTTAGGTGCTTCTTGCTTTGCCTGAGGTGGCTTTCCTTGAACGGAGTCTCTAAAATACCGAGACGGATGTGGAGACAAGTTGATGTCTGCTGGAACAGGGTGCTCTTGTAGATACTGTGTTTGTAATCAGTCAGGCCCAGGTGAAAGTTGGACATTTAGTCTGATGTCAGAAAGTGTATCAAATCCTCCTGTACCCTCACTAATATTTTAGCACTGAGAAGATGGTTAAAATTAAAGTCAATAGGAGTATTATGTGAGTATTTAAGGACCTCTGGTGGCACAGTGCCTAAGGCATTTATTTGAGTGCTAACTAGAAGGTTGGATATTCAAACCTACCAGCCATGCTGCTAGAAGGGAGACTGGGCAATCTACTTCCCTAAAGATTTACTGCCTCGGAAATCCAGTGATGGCAGTGGGTTTGGTTTTTGTTTGTTTTTTTTTTTTTTTTTTTTTTTTAAATGAGTAGTAAAGGAAGATGTCGCCAAAGATAACTGGCTAAGAGAGTGGGAAATAGGTATGCACCCAGCCCAAACCTTTGTTGCTTTGGTCTTAAGGGCATGGGATAAGGATGCCATCTGTGGATGCCATCTTCTATTTGACAAAATTAGTACTTCCTGCTCCCCCATTCTGGGTTCCTAGGTTCCACGCTAAACTTTTTGCACCCAGGAAAATGTTCCAATCCGGCAAAACGCAAGAGTACCCTACCTATTGCTTTGTTAGGTCCATAAGTTGACAAACTAAATAGTCCAGTGGTTAAATAAAAATGGGAATCCCAAACAGATTGCACAAAGGTGTGCCTTTACCTATCCTGTGGGAGAGGTGAAAGTTAGCTGTAAGAGATACTTCCTTAACTGACTTGATGAATTTTTCACCTACCCCAACGTCAACCTCAGCTATTTGGTTAATCACCTCTGAACAAGCTGAGTCTCCTTCAGTAAATTAGTGTAATCTGTAAGAACTGTTTAATTAACGTGGCTATTGAACACAGGTAAAAGTTTCTAGAAAATTAAAGGTTTCTGGTAAAACCTTAAGTGTTTCCTAGTTAATTAACAGGTATTACAAGGGGGTAGAAAGAAGTCGAGTTTCTAGCCCTTAGCCTGCAATCTTGACCTCTAGTTATTCAAATTAAAGGGTTTGAGGTGGAGTCTAGTTCTCTAAGGAAACTTATGGGCAATGACCCTCTAGCAGTGGGTCTGTAATTTGTGGAACTCTAAAAAGAAAATCTGGCTTGTATGCTTGGGTGCACCCGTATATAACAGTGGCTGTTTGAAAATACAACTGCTATATTTTAAAGAGCCATATGGTACAAAACTAGAATTGTATATATGTTGTTGCAGAATTACAAGTACTTGTCCTGGTGGTACAGTGGTTAAAACACTCAGCTGCTAACCAAAAATGTTGTTTTGAACCCACCCGGTCATTTCATGGGAGAAAGGTGAGGCAGTCTGCTTCCATAAAGATTTACAGCCATGGAAATCCTTTGGGGCAGTTCTACTCTGTCCTGTAAGGTCACTATGAGTTGACATCAACTCAGTGACAGTGGCTTTTTTTTTTTCTTTTTTTTTTTTTTTTTTTTTAAATTTTTTCTGTAAAAGTAAATTACAGGAAAATTGAGATGTTGGGTCCTTGGTGGTTAGTTTCCAAGGTGATCCCCAGTGATCCTTACATGTTGGTATCCAGATCTTGCTAACTCTCTTCCCCCTTTGAATCAAGATTAGTCTTTGTGTCCAATAGAATACAAGAGAAGTGAAGGTGTGTGACTTTTGAGGCTAGGTCATAAAGGCACTGATTGTAGCTTTCCATCTTAGTCTCTGTTCTGGGGGAAGCCAGTCTCCAGGACACCCACTCAAACAGTCCTATGAAGAAGTCCATGTGGAGAAAAACAAAGACCTCTGCCAACAGCAGGCACCAATACCCTAACCACGTAAGGGAACTACCTTGATTTGGGCTGATCCTGCAAACCTAGTCAACATTCAGATTACTTCAGCCTTGCCCAATATCTGATTACAGTCTCTCTAGTAGACTAAAAAGACCTAGGCAAGGCCATTCTGAATTCCTGACCTACAAACTCTAATATAGGATTTTATCTGGTTTTCCTCCCCAGTATTTATATTCAGGCTTTTGAAATGTTAAACAGTGGAAGAACTAAAAATGTGTGTGTGATTCTGTATGTAAAATAATTTTAAAATAAGAGTTCCTGCTGCTTGGAACATAGTGGAGAGTGAATAAATATTTTTTTAAATGGACACATAGAATTAAAAGATAAACAACAATTGAAAAATATTTGGAACAAATATTAATAAAGGAGTAATACCATAATATATAAAGAGCTCAAACAAATCAATTAAAAACCAAACTCACTGCCTTCAGTCAATTCCCACTCATAGTGACCCCTCCTTGGGTTTCTGAGGCAGTATCTCTACAGAAGTAGATTGCCCAGTCTTCCTTCCGAGGAGTGGCTGGTGAATGGGTTTGAACCACTAGCCATTTGGTTAGCAGCCTTAGGCACTATGCCACCAGAGCGCCTAAACAAATCAATAAGGAAGATATTAATGTCTCCAATAGAGAAATAAACCATAGATAGGTAAATCAAGTATGATGTTTTACTTATCTAGTGCTGTATAATAGAAATACCACAAGTGGATGGCTTTAACAAACAAATCTATTCTCACAGTTTAGGAGGCTATAAGACCAAATTCAGGATACCAGCTCTAGGGGAAGGCTCTCTTTCTGTTCACTCTGGGAAAAGGTCCCTATCTCCTTTCAACATCTGTGTCCCTAGTGACCTTGGAGATCTCCATGTGTCTTGGCATCTATCTTCCCCTGGTACTAAGAGGTTCTCAGCAAGGGATCCCACATCCAAAGTCCACACTTTGCTCCTGACTCTTCTTTCTTGGTGGTTCTCAGTTCCCTCCTTCTCTTCTCATTTATTTAATTTCTTTTATATCTCAAAAGAGATCAACTCAAGATACAATGTAATCCTGTAGATTGCATCCTGCCTCATTAGCATAACTGCCTCTAATCCTGCCTCATTAACATCATAAAAGTTAGGATTTAGAACACATAGAATCATAAAATGAAGGATTTCAAGAGACCGGCAAGATGATGGATGAAAGACTGCACAGACCCTCTTCAACAAAGAAGAGGGAAACCAATTAACACAGATGCAGAAGATACTCCTGGACCCTTGAGCCTTGAAGGGAAGGATATAGAAGTTGACTAAACCCCAACTAGCAGAAGAATTTGCATGAAAATACCAAAAAAGGAGACATATGGAGCTGTGGTCTGGCAGCAATCCTGAGCAATCCTGATGGCACAGACAGTTTGGAGATTCCTGAGTGATGGTAGGACCTAAGAACTAACCAAAAAATCAGCCCTGCTAGCCAGGGACTGCATGGAGGACTGTGCACGATGGCTGGGGAATAAACAGAGAAGGTGAAGAGAAAAGCGGGCTGAGCTGTGGACTTTTGCCGGTCTGGAGGACACTGCCATTTTGAAGGATTAAAAGGGGCTTGACAATTTTGGATATTTAAAGAGCACACTCTGGCAGAATCCTGGGGCTTTAGAACATGTTCTGCTTTCCAGCAACCCCAAGGACACTCCAGACCCGCAAGACTGAAAAGGTACGACATTCCTCTTGTTACTCTTATACCCCACACCCAATTGGTGAATGGAGGTGTGACCATCCCACACTCCCACCTACCTTCTGGGCCCACAGGAACTCCATCACAGTCTGTGTGCTCAAACGGAGCCTGGGTGCCCTGCCCTGTCCTCCATCAATTCTTTTTTTTTTCTCTCTTTTTTTTTTTGTTAATTTTTATTTTTTTCTTTTTCGCTTTCTTTTTCTGGTTATTAGTCTGCTTGTATTTCTCAGTTTTAAAATAATAAAAACTATTATTATTAATACTTTTGCCCTTTTTATTATTATTCTTAATCTTCCCCTCTCAGGTCCTAGTTTTCAGCATTTTTCCTTTTCCCTGTTACTGTTTGATTTTTTTTCCCCCTTTTTTCTCATGGTTAACCTCATTCCATGTTTTTCTTTTTGCATTTTTCCCCTTTTTTTTCCCTTCATTATTCTCCTTCTCTACTTTTTTTCTCTTAGTGCCCTGTCCCTAGATATTACAGGTTTTCTTGTTTTTTCTTCTTCTTTTTCCCTTTTTTCTTTTTTTGGCTACTGTTCCTGTGTGATTACATGATGTGTTTCTTTGTCCATGTGCTTTTAGTTTTTTGATGGTTATTCAATTGTAGTTTGTGTCTAACTTAGTGGGAGACAACAACAGTCCCCATAAGACACAACTACACCCACACCTACTGCAACTTCACTTACTGAGC